CAAATGTAGAAAATGCTACTTGCAGTTTAAATTGCTTTTACTTGGGTTAGTTTATTGGCTTCTTAAGGGTTAAAATGTCTACTTCAGCTTCTTCGTAATGGTAAGAGGGGTTTGTTCATTATAATTTTGTAAAGTAGATTTGAACACAGCCTGTCCCAACAAAGGGTTAGAGGATTACAACCCTGGCTTCTGCATTGTATGTTAATGAAGTTATTGAGAGGAGAAACAATCCTCAAACTTCAGTCCCAAGTGTTTCTATAAGGGCAGATCACTGTGAAGGTGTTGCCTGCTGCAACAACACATCTATAGTGTTTAAAAAAATAATAATTTGTTATGCTGTGTGAATGGGAACACACAACAAACACATAGAGGGGTTTTCTCAAATTCAACTGCAAAAGTGGAAATACACTCTAAGCTAGTTACTGCTTTGATGGCCTGCAGCATTCTGAAATGAATAATTATGTTATGCCATGGTGCTAATAGAGTAAAGGTTCCAACTTTCTTTGCTATATTGTCAAGTTGAATGAAGGTCTTGGTACATACCCCCCGCCCCTCCCTCCACAATGTCTTTGTATTTCCAGCTCTACCATGCACACAACTGTTGCATTGATATCTGCAGTAGTAAAGAAGATTCATTTATTCTGACATATCTTTTGGTTTTTGATGTCTTTTGATTACGATAGACCTTTTTAAGATCAGACAGGGATATGATGTCTATAAGCTATTGACAATATTGGGCAAGGCTCAGCAATTGGTCAGGTTAGAAATCCCAGTTTGAACACTTCCCCTAGGTAAGTGCGCACTGGAGGTGTCTGCACCATGTCTCCTCCACCCTGCACCTTAACTAAACATTAAAGCGTGTGCTGCTTGAATTCGAGCTGTTGGTCTCTCCACAGGGCTGAACAACAAAATACTACAGGTGTATAGCAAGCTTAATAGTGTCGCTTGATCCGGCTAATTCACAGATCTGATCGAGCCCGGATGTCTGACTATCCGCTAGTGTCTATTGCCAGCTTTATACACTGGCTGGCTGTCATTATGACCTGGTGAAACTGCACTCAATGATTTGTTATAGGGTAGGTATACCTACTTGTCCTCCAAGCAGCTGCTCATAAACTCTGTGGCTCTTTGTTACCGTGGGGCATGTACCTCTCTTTCCTCAGTGACCAGACCTGCACTAGCTGCAGTATAAAGCTTTGACAGCCTTAAATGCAAAATATATACTTTTTTTTAACCTTTTAGTCACTGTAGTTTTTTTATATGTTTCATTATTAAATTAAGTTTTTTTACCTAAATATTTTTGCAGCAGAGTGCTAAAATGCAACCGTGGCTTTAAACAAGTAGAGATACTGCTAAAAAGAAACCAAAAGCATGTATAGTAGTAACTGTGAGCTGTAACATCTGGATTATAGTGTGGCACCTCTTACAATCATGTGTTTTTTTTTATTCATGGCTAGAAATTCATATTAAAATTCTGTATGTTATTCCTTTGGCTTCCACATCACTGGCTGCTTATCCTTGTGACGTATACATGATTACACTTAGAAAGTCTAAGTTTTAACTTACCATTCGTTCTGCATCAGTTCATCGACAAAGGTTCGTGTACACAGGCATCAGACAGTGCAAAGTAGCTTACCCCAAGGGCTTGTTGGTGATGTACATAAATATGAGGAATTTAAATAGACACTAGGTGTCAAGCATAGACTGTGTAAAATTGTCTTTAAAGGGCATGTCTATCCAAAATAGATGTTCAGTCTTGGTTTAATCTTGATGGAATGATGAACCCACCAGACACGGTTGGTTCTCCAAACTGGGGCTCCCAGCTCAACACCTCACGTAGCCATTAGTATCTCTTTCCATTCTAGGCCGAGAGAGGTATTTGCCTGCTTACTGCTGGGCTCTCCTTTCTTTTCTAAGTAAAGCAGAATGTAAGTTTGGCTTAGGTGCCATTCTTGAAGGTGTGGTGTGTTTTGCAATGTATTTATGCATTTGTTGTGCATCAGCATAGGGCAAGAATATTCAATTTATTGCAACAAACACAGCAATGAATCTCATGCAACTCATGCGCAAAGACGTGCTTGTGGTTTGCTGCATTTGGGGTGCTAGTAACAAATAATGGCACATAAGTTGCAGTGGCCATTGAGTGAGCGCATGCAAAAGCACATGATTTTGTGTGCATGAAGTGTGTATGGGACCTAAGTTCAAGATGGAGAGATTCTCATTTAGACAGGTACAGTTCATCATGACTTCCTGGACTCCATGCATTTCAGTAGTTGTTTCTCTGAGATCACTTTCATTTTCTTATTGCTTTAAAAATGCATTTAATTCAACTCATAGTATGTCCAGTGTGATAAAGGCAGCTATCAATTCACATACCTGACAGGTACCGTGTGTAATGTTCAAAATACATTAATAAAATTACAATTCCTAAATGGTTTCATGCATCTGAGTATCCCCCAGTCCCTGTATATAGCTATATATAAGGCTTCCCTAATTTCACAGTCTATTGTGAGATGAAAATGAGGAGCTTTGAAATGGGTTCCCGATATATGATAAGAGGAGTCCTTATAATGCTTCACAAGACACGGTGCTCTCTCATAAGACAGAAGGCACTCCATTTGAGAAGTCTTTAAGAAAGGTGCAAGTCCTGCTCTGCCGCTGACACTGGCACCTTTCTTAGAGATTATCTTCCTGATTTGTATTGAATATTCAAGGAGCTTTGCTCTGGGTTCAGTGGATATCTAGTCGATTTTTAAAGCCATGATGAAGGGGGATTGCTGAGCCCCCAAAATGCGTTGGCTAACATGGTGAAACTGCACTCAATTAATGATTTGTTATAGGATAGTTATACCTACTTGTCCTCCAACCAGCTGTCATTTGTAAAACCACTGAAATACTATTTTGGACTCTTACAAACTCGTGTTTGGCACCCTCCTTGGTTGGAATGCATGTATTGAATGGTATTGGTGTAGCCTCAGAAGGAGGACAAGTTACAAATTGACTGGTTTGGTTTATTAATTTTTAATCATCCCTTTAATTTTGCAGGCATCACAGTCTTCTATGGGGAATTCTGCCTACATTTAATGTGGCCAAAATATAGTTAGTCTCTGTTTTGTTCTATAGTAATAGACAACATGCCTTTTTCGGTTTTCTGAGACCAGAGTTCCAGTCCCAGGGATATTCATCAATGGGGAGATCACCCTGTGCTGCCCATCCAATGCTGAAATAGCTTTTTTCTACATCTTTCCGTACATCTCCCAGCAGGTGAAAGATTATTTAGACTTGAACCTTGACTTGCTTGGTTGTCTCAGTTATTTGTTTCTACGGTTGCACAGATACCAAGTACAGTACTCGGTACGAGTACATGTACCGATACTTTTGAGCTCCAAGACTAGAGAAAAATTCAAAAATTAGGAGGCAGCTGTCATTTGTAAGGAGCACACGGAGCTCCTGGGATTTGTACATCTCTGTTTTAATGTACGATTTTGTTTTTATAAATATAAATAAAGGGATGCACAGATACCAGTTTTGCGAGTACGAGTACTGGTACTTGCCGAGTACTTACAAGTACGAGTACTGATACATTTTTAATGTCATGTGACAGTTTTTCTAAAACAATACAGACTGATGATTTCAGGACAGTGGTGGAGTGCCAGAGCCAGGTCCCAGCTGCAACCCTGGTAGTTCTCCTGAAAATGCCAAGTGTCTGCGCTGGCGCTGGTACTCGAAAAGTATCTGTGCATCCCTATTTGTTTCCATGTATTGTTTTACCCTTCCAAGGGTCCTCTGTAACAGTTAGCTCCTATAACAACTTAATGACTGACGTATATACACATGATTACACTTATGAATGTTTCCAGAACATGGAATGGGATGGATGTGATTTTGATTGACCCATGGGTCTGTAAAATTGCTCCTTTCTTCCCTGGAACTAATAAGTAAAATATGTTGTACTTTAAGTGTTTCTTGCCATCTAAAAAAATGTATCTCCTGTTTTTTAAAGTTGGTTTACTCTAAACAATGTTACTTAAAGAGCTTAAACTTAAATTCCAGGCCACGGATTAAATCAGAATGGACATATAGCAAATGTGCTAGTTGCAGAGTTCTCCAAATGTATGTTCAATCTTGGTGTTATAAAAAATCCACTGTGGCCAGATGCAACAGCTTCTTACAGTGCTTGTGGACTGGACTGAAACCTGTAGTAATACGACTGTGCAGGCTTTCTTTTTGGGAACAATCATTTGGTGTTCAGTGGCTGGATCAAAAGGGCCTTCATTTTTATGTACTTACATTCAGGCCCACTTGTATAATTTGGGTTAGACTGGGTTCCTTACTAGGAACTATGCCTCAAATCTTTGGTGGTTTACATTCTTGATAAAGACTGGATTAGACTGGATAAACTGGATTCTTTTTTTAGGGCTTTAATCTGATCCTGAACCTGTTTGCACCTAAAGCAAATAAAACTGATGACGTGTATGATGATTGTGCTCTCTGGCTTAAAGACGTTATTTGCCTATTTTTCTTTTACTATGGAAAACACCGCTGATCTTTATAAATGAGCCTCTCTTGCTTGGAAAACCTTTAACCTATCATTCGTAGTTTCCAAGATAATGTCATAACTCCCAGTATTATACTAAGAATTGGTTGTGGCATTCAGGAATTCAAGAGACATTAATGCATGAATGAGGACTTGTGTTCCCCTCTCGTGTTACTCCCTCACGCGTGTTGGATCTCCCTTCAGCTCGTGTTGTGTGTGTGTGTCGCAGTCACAATTCTGTTTTCATTATCTGAATGACGTTTTTGTATAAACGTATTCGCATGTGTGAAAGTCTTTCCATGCCAGTGCAGAGTACAGTTACACACATCAAAAAGCTCAAATGATTTCCCATAGGGTGGGATTAAAGATTAAACTGTGTTGCAATAACTGCGTATGACTTGCATATGTTGCAAAGAGAGCCTGTCTTTCAGTTTCTTGTATTATATCCTCTGCTTTCTTTCAGGTATGTACCTCTGTGACCTCACATATATAGATTCTGCATATCCATCCACTGGCAGCATCCTGGAAAACGAGCAGAGATCGAATCTAATGAACAATATACTGAGGATCATCTCTGACCTGCAGCAGTCCTGTGAATATGGTGAGTGCGTTCCTCTGAAAAGATTATACAAATGTACAAAGCTTGCTGAACACAAAGCTAGGGCCCCATTCACACTGAGCGACTTGCGATATTGAGCGACTTGCGATATTGAGCGACTTTTTCCTATTGGGCTGTATGCAATCAGGAGCAAAATCGCTCGAAAAAAGGGTCATGTAGGAGCTACAAGCGATATTGAGCGACGAGATGTGAACAGCTCCATTGAAATGGATTGGAGAAGCTACATAGAGCGATATCGCGTGGAAATATGAGCGATATCGCTGCAAAAATCGCTCGATAAATCGCTCAATGTGAATGGGGCCTAAATGGGAAACATCACTTGATTGCCACTTGGCTTCTGAGAAAAAGTCGATTAAAAATGAACTTTTATCGAGCCGGTGGGTGCTGGTAGGGCCGTCCATGGATTCATTTTCATCCGATTCAACAGAAGACGGCCACAATTTTGATCCATGTATGGCCAAGTTATAGCATATCATGGAAAGGCTGGATTAGCAGCACCAAGGGTGAGCCGATCATGAACCCCCAATCGCACAGCAGCCACATTGGCTGCATATTCAGTGCACACTTGTTTTATTGTCTTACAACCTTGAAGAATGACCATCACTAGTGAAAAAGAAATACAATGTGGTTGTCTTTACTTTGTGATCAGTCTTGACTGATTGGAGTCTGAGCTATGCGACTTGCACATAAAGGTGCATGTGTCTATATAGTGTGTACACATTGTTGTTTTCTGTCTTGTGTTGTCCTGTTGTAATTGCTGCCCCTTTTTAAGAATCATACATTCTATTTCTTTAAAAGCTCTGCTTTTTTTTGTTTGTTTTGTAGCAGAATTTTTATTCCATAAAGTATTGTGACCACCATCAGTGGTGCAATGCTCTGGCTCCTGTACACCTTTCTTCCAGTCCGTGTCCGTACTGAGGTGCTAATATTCAGTAACATGGATGGAAGTGTCAATGGACTACAAGTGCAGTGAGGTCACATGGCATATGGGACTTGTAGTTTCTTGTTTCACAGATCATGCCATAGGATCTGTGAATGGATTCCGCCTCCGCCCACACAGCTGTGCCGAATTAAAAACTGTAAACAAGTGTGCGGGAGAATAACTCTTTGATTCCAGTAAGAGGGAGATGTTGGGATCTGACCATGTTTCATGTTACCCCTGTCACCCTGGATATGAGTGTAACATAGAACATGGTTAAAAAGGTAAACTTGGCCTCTTAAATGGCATAATATAGCATACATGTGGGAGCAAAAGGTACTTTTTTTCTATTCAGAAATCTGGATGGATTAGCTATTAGTAAGAAGAACATTCCACCAGTGCATAAGCACTCTGCATGGTATTATCTGCACCACCTCATTTATAGCACACAGAGGGGAGTTTATCAAAATCTGGAGCAGCTGTGCACGGCAACCAATTGGCATCCACCTTTCATTTTCAAAGCTTAGCTGAACAGACTGAAGAGAGAAGCTGATTGGTTTCCATAGGCACTGCTCCAGATTTTGTCTGCTCCAGTTTTGATAAATCACCCCCCGCAGTGTTTTTACCTTTCAATTCTGCAAATAGATTTGGTCCACCCAGGGAGAACCTTGTGTCCTGTCCATATGCTCATGCTGTAGGTCTTGGCTTTTTTTAACTCGGCACTAAGCCCTGACCCCACCACTAGTAAGATCTTCTATTGATTGATGAAACTGTTTTTTGTTTTTTTTGTTTTGTTTGCTTTAATCGCTAAGAAGAGAAACTTGGCATATTTTTAGAAAGTTCAAGGTCTCTGAGGTTAGAGTGCATGGATTTGTGGCCTGCTCGATTTGGAACCCTGGTACCCAACATGCTGCCTAAGGGCCACGTGTGACCCTTTGGTACTTGCTGTGCGGCCCTTTGCAGACCCCAACAGTCAGTAGTTGAAGCATTCATTTGTAGAGGGGCTATAATGTCTGTGATCTCTAGCAGTCTCATGTAGCATGTCCCCACACTCCTGCAGTGGGTCTTCCGTCTCCAACCACCCCTGTTGTATGTCTATAGTCTGATTGTCTCCTCATGTCCGCTCCTCATTTATATTGTTTATTCAATTAACACAGATGTCAAATTCATTTTAAATGAAGAATTGAAATAAATGTTTAAATAGGAGGGCTGCCATTGCTGACCACCTTACAAAAATGCTAGTTGTTTGTCTGTCCCTGGCTCCAAATACCCAGTTCAAATCCTCAGAGAAATGAATTCCGAGTGAAATTGGCACACTTGATCTGCAAACTTGGTTTGGATCAGTGACACTGAAATCTGTCAAGCCAGAGCATCCACGTAATGGCCAGGAAGCTGGCTGTTTAGGAGGACGTGAGCAGTGGCAACCTCCTGTTTTTCCCAGTACTGGTGTTCTTGGGAAAACCTCATCAAGAAGTGTTTTATAGTTGTCATTTAATGTACACCATTTTTTTTTCTTTTTGTTTTGCACAGATACTCCCATATTGCCTCATGTACAGAAATACCTAAACTCTGTGCGATACATTGAGGAGCTCCAGAAGTTTGTAGAGGACGATAATTATAAGTAAGTGTGCAGTTTGAGCTGTTTTCAAATCACGACTGGAAACCTTGTTTCTAAATTGCCGGTGTTCTATCCTGTTCCTTGTCCTCTTCCAGTACTGGTCTCTTAGTGAGCACATTAGTGAGTGTAATCCGCTACACGGAGAAAAAACGGTGGCACTCTGATAGCTGGTCCCTGCTACAAGCGGAAGCAGGTTACATTTACTTTTATCACAAAGGTTGCAATGATTTGTGGTTTGACTTTCATTCATACGCAGTGCTTTCTGGAAAGCATTTGTAGTTCAGTTAAAGTGATGCTAAGCGCTCGTTTATTTTCTACAATCTACTGCTAGCACGCAGCATGGTATGCCCTAACATTAAGAATCTACCTATGCTGTGCCACTCGTTCCCGGCTGCAGAGCACCGCTTCCCCAATTGTCTGTGTAGTAGATGATGTGCGCTGGCGCATGTGCACTTGATGTTACAGGAGAGGAGAGTAAGCATGAAACAATGCGAGTCAATGAAAGCACGCCGGGAGCAGGCACGCAGGGGTGTCTCTGTGGGACACTGAAAGAAGAAGACACGGAAGCATCATAGAGTGCCACCAGCGCTGAGGGGACAGCTTGAAACGACTCGACAGAAGAGGCATCACCTAAGCAAAGTCCTCACCGCAGCATTAGGGGGGTGGGGGGTGGAGACATAGCCTTCAGCGTCACTTTTAATATTTGTCTTGTAGAATGCTGTACTGATGAAGTATAGGCACTTATGCTTTCTGTGGCCAAATCTTCCTCAGATGTGGTCCTAATACAACATTTTTTCACCCAGTTGTCATCGGTTGGATAGCCAAGAGGACTGGGTACCAGCTGCGTGACCCTATGTCTCTATCCATTATATCCATTCTAGGTGGAACACAGCCTGGCCTGACTAATAATGCTCCATGCTTGCACCTTTCATTTGCTTCCTTTTTATACTTTGGAAATATTTTCCCTTTGTAGAATTGCAGTAGTTTTCATGGCTATTCTTTTAGATTTCATGTTCAGTCATTAATAGTGATTACTTTTGAGCAGACTGAAGAATGTTGTCATGATGTTTGAATTAACACACTTTCTGCTTTGGTTTCTTGGCAGCCGTACACTGCAGTCAAAATGACGTCACTTTCAGGCTTTGTTTCACTAATGACCATTTTTTCCTGCAGTTAAATACAGATGTTCGGTCTGCTCCAAGACAAGCTGATGTACATCATTGTGTTCTCTCTGTTTTAAAGGATATTATGACTAACTTTTGTGTTATGTTAATTAGACTTCAATCAAGGTAATATCCTCTCTGAAAATTTAGAATGCCCCATGGGATCGGTTGATGAAAGTCAGAATTCACTTTAATTTATGAATAGCATAATTTGTTTTGCACGCATCACGTTGTATAAGGTTATTAAAGACATACTTGAACAGACACAAGTCATTCTAATTGTTGGACCTACTCAACACAAGCCACGGATCAATGTTTGAAATCTCCTGGGGCTTTACAATGTGTGTGGCACAGAGATTTCAAATGACCCTTTCCAATATTTCTTCTTGAATTGGTACTTAAGAGGACTCCAGCCATCTATGAAAATACTGTGCGTTTAGCTTTTCTATGTGCTCACTTTGTCCAGTGTTTTATTCTTCTTCTCTCCTGATTTATGTAGACTACTAGGGCAGCAACAGAACACCAGCGGAGGAACTGCAATACAAACAGTACACCTCTCTAAAAAAAAAAACACTTAGTGTATTTCCACTTTTGCAACCAAATTGGGATAACACTTATTTTATATTTGTTTCATGTTTGTCATTCAAATAGCAAAATCTAAAAACACAATTGCTACTTGCATAAAACATGCTCAGTTTTGAATAGACAGTTTTATAAGCGCAGTATGAATTGCCCATGTTTGTGATCACTTTACCTTGAGGGCCCATTCACACTGGGTTGTAATGTGGTGTAACACATGTGGAAAAGCACTTAATTTGAAATGGACCACAACGGTCCTTCCCCATTTTTGTTTACCTCAGCACAGGTAAAGGCATTGCAACATACTTGATGCATTACCCACACATGATGGTGTAACAGATCCTCAGGCTTTAATAATGGATACATCTGTGGTTCAATCTCCAAGTGACGAGGAAGCATGGAGCCGTATTCCCAGCCAATCAGGAAGCCAGGCAGAGTGTAATAACTCGATGCCCGGCTTCCCGAGTACTTGCCCAAATACTCTGTATCTGTACCGATACTGGTATCGGTGCATCACGACCAGAAATGGGGCACAAAATCAGGTGACGTGGTTCAGTCACTGATAAGAATTTGTGAACACAAGATTTTCTAAGTTGATTGAAATTCACTCAACCAAATATCTCATGGCCTGGTGTTATTGGTGAGACATCTGTCTGTTTGTGGTCAGCAGCAGAACTGTATTCTTATTACCACATGAGACCCAGATAATTGCCAGAGAGTTAATTTCCTGTAAAACAAATAGTACTGAAAACTGTTCATTAGATTGTATACATAAGGAACTGCTGCTTAAAAGGCCATTAAAACAATCCTGAATACACAAAGCAAAGCTTTCTGCCAGTGTTGTATTAGTACCAGATGATGGTGACGTTCTTTTTTTTTAATCTAAATTTTGTCTCCTTTACGCCCAGTTTCTATATTTGTTAAAATAATGAAATACATGATGTGGGAACAGTCTGCATGATTATCCTTGGAAGGAAGAATTATACTTCCAGCGATGAATTTTCTACTTTACAACCAGGTTTTGTCTACTTTATACTGAGCCATGTAGTCATTCCCAGATTATCTAGTGTCCATTAAAGATGCTGTAGTCAAATGGGAAAAGTTTGCTCCAAATCTCTCTTGGTGGACACTAGGGCTGCAACCAACCAACCAATCGATGAATCAATAGTAATCGATGAGAATAGTTGACAACTATTCTCATTATTGATTAGTTGGTTAGAGCCCCTAGCTCTCTCCTTCATGCTGGCGAGGAGGGCACAGCAAGCAGTGGGTGGTGCAATAGCCAGCCTGCTATTGGCAATTTGAAATGGCCAATAGCAGGCTGGCTATTGCACCAGCCCACTACCTGCTGTATTTACTTTCAGCTGGCAGCTGTCATTCCCGGGATGAAGCTATTCAAGCGCCATGTGCCTACAATACAATTATTTTAAAAAATATATAAAAGGTGAGGAAAAGTCATTTTTCTGTTTTCGGCCTGACAAATTCTGCTGTGGAAGGTGTGTTGCAGTGCCATTCATTTCAATGACATCCCAAATGTGCCTCCCACCCACTGTGTGATCGCCCGCACTGGAACGTATGGTACCACAATGCTGTGCGTTCCTTTGCAATGGGATCACAAAAAATTGTGCATGCAGTTTTATTCTGAAGTAAACTCTGTAACACTGCATTTGTGTATTTTGTTTATATTAGGGAGGGTATTTAATTTAATCAATTATGAAAATAATCATTAGTTGCAGCCCTAGTGGACACAGCATAACTGTTACAAAGTTATTCCATAATAAATTATTGAAAAATTTAACCGGCTCATCACTTGCTTACTGTAAACCTGTGCAATAATCGTAAGCCATTCCCCCCTATCCTGAAAATATGCAAAGGCGTTGAATGTACACTTTAAGGGCCCATTCACAACATGTAGTTGCAGTAACATGCACGTTACTGCACACTTTACAGCAGCATGTGGCAATGAGCATTTAATGCTTTGGTGTGGTGCCATTAAAAGCACTGATTGTCAGCTAATTGGGTCCTCTGCCTGCTCATCTAAATAAACAGGAGGTCATCAGCACATCGGAAATGTGTCCAAGCAAATGTCTTCTATTGACGCATAGACATATTGTCACAAGAAAGGTAATGTTTCTGGGTCACTCACAGACACTTCATTCTCAAAATGACTGAGCCTGAAGAAGAGCCCCAGCAAAGCCCCAAAGTGTTGCCATTCTTGTGACAATATGTCTATGGGTCAATAAAATACATTTGCTTGGACACATTTCCGGTGTGCTGGTCACTTCCTGTTTGTTCATTTATCTCAGCGGCGCCATCCGCAGTCACTTTGCTGCTCATTTTTAAGGTGTTTACCGGTAAGGAGTGTGGTAGGATATATATTGGATCTGCCTGCTCACAGACCCTGCACCCACAGCTCTGTGAAATAAATACCAGTCCTCTGGTGCTGAGGTGCCCTTAACCTGCTGATTGGTAAGCATTCCAGAGGTGTTTTGTTTAAAGTTCACGGTTTGAGACCAAATTAGTATTTATGGCTTTCAGTTTTTATTTTCTAAATGTCGGGTATTACCAGGTTCCTAACACCCCTTGATCTCAGAGAAGCTGGTTTGCACAGTATCATGTAATACAAGGCAGCAGTCCTGGTCATAAGTATTGTAAAAGTTTTTGTGAATCTGTTATAAATTGCATGAAACTTAAACTGAATATAAATTGGCTTCACTGTACACCGATTTTACTTGTTGCCACTGTAGTCACTGTGTAATGTAAACTAACCTGATGCAAGCAGCAGACAACATGCTTGCCTCAGATGGTATATTTGTGTTCATGAATATACAGTAAGTATCTACATAGAGCAACCTAATGTGTTACATGTGTTCCATACATATTCACAATTGTTACATCACTGGAAATTGTTTGTTTTCCACAAATCGTCTGTTTTCTCTCAACATAGAACAAAAGCTGTGTTTTTGTCCTTTATAAACAACTCTGCAGCCGCGCTTTTAGAAATATTATATTTAATAGAATCCAGACCATTGCTTCCCTATTCTCTGGATCCTTATCTGTCTCAGCCATTTAGCGAGATGATGAATGTGATTTGGTCATATTGACTCACAGTTTACATTTCCAGGATTTTCTAGGGCTGGAAACAAATCACTTTCAGGAGCTCTAGGTTACTGTTTTATCTGGTGATGAATGCGATCTTTTTCTCAAGACAATGTGTTGTGTTCTATAGGTTATCCCTGAAAATTGAGCCTGGGAGCAGCACTCCGCGCACTACAGCATCTCGTGAGGATCTAGTTGGTAATTCAAGATATTCATAGTGAACCTGTGTATACAATATATTTTTGCCAAATATCTTTGTGTGTAGTGTGTTTATCTGCAACTGGATGGAAGCCTTTGCCACTACTAAAAATACCACATTTTTTAGCACCACAGTTGATATACAACAATTATGAAATAATACAGCCGGACCAGGATTATATTGTCTAAGATATTGGCCCACCCCCACAAAACAGCTTCTGCAGTTGGCAAGAGGCACTCTACATTTATTTTTATATTTTATGGATGGATGGATGGAGAGAGAGAGAGAGAGATATATCTCTAAGTGTGATTAGATATATACACACATTCTTTAATTTTTTTAATACAAAGGCCGCCAAGCCCTCCATTTCCTGGAATGCCCCATTTTTGTCCCTCACTGTCGTGCACAAATCTTTGAGTCCCCTTTACTTTCCTCAGTGGATGACTACACCATAGGGCAGTAGTCACCCACTTATCACTGGCTTTATCACTGGTATTTGTATTTGGCACTAATTCTAGTAAACATTTTGTTAGTATTTATATATTCATTTTGTATGCAAAATATGTTAATATAATAATATTGTATCATTAAAATGTATTTTGTAAAAATATTTTACTAAACTAATGCTGAGTGTTATTTCACAACTTTCAGGTCCTGAAACAGGAGCCTCGCCTCAAAGTTCTAGGAAAAGTATTGCTGTAGAAGGTGTATTGTTACCACCAACACCACCATCTCCTCGTAATCTCATCCCCCATGGGCACCGCAAATGCCACAGTTTGGGATATAAGTAAGCTTTTCTTCAGGAGTTTACTTCATTTGCATAATGGAACCTAAACTTTCATACATCCTTATTTCATATTGGTTACATTATTATTGTTTGGCAGGCCAGAAAGATGTACACTGTCTTGGTCTTCCTGTAGGTTTTTGCCAAAAGTGGATGTTAAAGTCTGTTTTTACTTTTGCAGCCAAATTGAGAGTACACCAATTTTATATTTGTTACATGTTCCCATTCTCATCGCATAACTTAAAAAAAATATTTTTAAAAAAGTTCTGTTTTTTTTAGAGAAAAATCTTATTCAGCTTCTGTGTTGTATGTAGTGTTAAGGAGAGGGCTGGAGAGTTCTGTTTTTATAAGTATTCTGTGCTGGCAGATCCCTCATCAGCCAGGTTGGGTGGTACATTGTATATTAATGTGCTTTTGAAAAATGACGTCCCTTGTTTCCACATTACCATCAGATCTAACCAACAGAAGTTACCTCTTGTGTCCTAATATAATCCTGCTCCAAAGAAACAATTGGAAAGGTAAAAAAAAAAAAGTGTCTGTATGCTCTCTGAATGGGAACACGCAAACATAGTTCCTCATATCTGGCTGCAAAAGTGGAAATATACTTTAAAGTGTAAGTTCAGCCTAGCACTGGAAGCTGCTGGCCATTTCCCAGCGATGCCACTCGGCCCCCATAATGCGATCTATGGAGTTGACACCATCAGGGCACAGAGGAAGTGTTTTCCAGTCAGGCTTTGCAATCACAAGACACAGATAGCATGATGGGGGGGGGTGTCTAAGTGAAAGTTTAGGTTGTATGGTGTCGCTGGTTAATGGCCGGTAGTTTCCAATGCTGGTTGCTGGACAACCAGACCACGGGCAGAAATTAAACATGGTTCTATGCATTTATCAAGGTACATGTGTTATTTGGCTGTTAAATGTTCATAGAATTGATTCTATGGTAAACCTCCACTTTAAGAATATTGCTACAGCAACATCTAGACTGGTTTTCTTTTTTTTCCCTTCCAGCTTCATCCATAAAATGAACACTGCAGAGTTTAAAAGTGCAACGTTTCCAAACGCAGGGCCACGGCACTTATTAGATGACAGTGTAATGGAGCCCCATACACCTTCCCGGGGGCAGGCAGAAAGCTCTACTCTTTCTAGTGGCATATCCATAGGTAAGCCTCTGCAACTGACTGGTCACCCTGACATTGTCATCATCTTTCTCCTAAGCTGCACTGGCCGTGTTTAATCTAAATGCATATATAAAACACTTTACTCAACAAAAATATTTCTTGGAAACTTAATAAATCCCTTTACATTTAGCTAGTGCTGAGTTTCTTAACCTTTTTTCAATCGCGGCACCATATAAAATTATGAAAAATCTTCAAGCACTTCAGTCTAAAAAGTAAAAAGCATAAATGTAAAAAAGTTTGCTTCCTCCCAAAATTGTCCTAATTTCACCATGGCATTGACGAGTGATTCCTTGTCGCATGCACTGCACATTGGTTGTGGGACAGGATATTAACTAGCAGCAGCTCTTACCTATATTCATCTGAGAAATCTCCTTTCTTTGTCCCGAATAGCTACCAGATTAGGGATTAGCCCCTCCTGCCCCTTTTTACAGTAGAGAAGAGGTTTTTCTGGTTAGTAAAAGTATTAAATGGTCCCCTGTGTTTAGGTAGGATGTATAGTTTATATATACATGGCAAACACCCCTGTATAGTTTTTTTTTTAATGCTCGGCTGCCCCCACTGCAAACAGGCCACGCTGACACTCAGCCATAATCCACCCTTACTTCGGGCGACAAAGTGCAGTTCTTCCCAATTCTCGATTACTCTGTAGAGCTTTTCCAAAATAAAGTGTCTTTATTGATGGTAGCAACAACGCACTGTGATGTGACTGAGTAAGCCAGGATGGCGCAACGCGTAAGTTGTTGAGCACACATGGGAAGTCACATCACGGTGTGTTGCTACTATCAATAAAGATGCTTTCTTTTGGTGAAGATCTACAGAGTGCGGTCGAGTATTTGTACATGTACATCTTAGGCAGCGGTGAGCCATTTGCCCAGCACCTAGGATGCAATCACGCCGTCGGCTAGCTGCAGAATTCAGAGTGGTGAGCTTTTTCTAAGATTGTCTTCCCAATTCTATTGCGTATTGTTGCTTAAGTCCTGAAGAAAGTAGTGCCCAATTCCCCAGAAACGCATGGGCTGTCCCTGACATTTCCGTTCAAATGAGCCTTCAAGTGAAGACGGCTGACAGCACAGAGGCGGGCTGCAGATCTAGACCATGTTGTCGCAATCTATCCTGCTACCTTATTGACAGTTGGCTCTGCCTCTCCGCGGTTTGTGATCATTCAGTTCTTGATCTATAGAGACGACATGTGACAGCTGCAGCATCACACGTCAGATCTAACTATGGGGATGAGTGTATTTAGTCCATGGCATTTTTATTTATTTAAAACATTCTGTTGAATCCAAAGTAAATGAAATATGGAATAAACAATGATGGAGGGAAGTTAATTAGGTCAGCTTCAAGTCATTTCAGAGAAAATTGTGAGGTTTTTTTTACGTTGAAGGGTACAAACAAATTTGTACATGTCTCTCGCTTTCTGCTTCTCCTTATTTACCCAGCTGAAGGAATGTTCCTTTTGGTCTGTGATCAGTCTCTACTCCTTTAGTAAATCTACCCCTCTGTGCCCTACAAAATGCACGTAATTCCTCTTTAATTGGTTTGCTGCATGTTTGATATAGTTTTCTTCCCCCAGAGGGAATGAGGTTGGTCTTAATTCCGTGTATTAGAACAAATTCCAGTGTTATCTTTATTGCCGTAAGCCTGTTCACTGTTTTCCAAGGAGACATGACAAACATATCTGTTTATTAGCTCAGATTGAATTTGGGAGAGCTTCTCTGTGGAAAGTTATTGATGGTCATATTTAGCAATGCAATCAGAATCTGCAGAATATGTATACCAAACTAGAACTAACCGTATCCCATGTTTTGTTGAATATAGTAATGAGTTGATTAGAAAGTAATTCTGACTTCACGTCTGACTGTGTTTTAAGAAGAGATTTTCTTTTTAAACACATCTTTTTAGTAGGGATGCACCAATACCGGTTTTTCTGTTTTGATTACCGATATTCATATTTTGGTAGTCACTGATGCCAGTACTTCAGCTAGCATGGAGACGGCTTCCCAGGTAATCGGGAAGCTGGGTGGCGTGTCATTACCCACTGCCCGGCTTCTTGATTGCCCGGGAAGCTGGCTCTATGTTGTTTGGCCGGGGAGCCAGCTTCTCAGCCAATCAGCATCGAGCTGGCTGTTTGGCCGGCTTCCTGGCCAATCAGGAAATCAGACGGCGAGTCATTACCCGCTGCCCAACTTCCTGATTGTCCGGGTAGCCGGCTCCACGTTTGCTCATGGCACTGCCAGTCAGAGGAAATTTCCCTCTGACCGGAAGTTTCGGTATCAGGGGCAATTATCAGATCATTTGGGCAAGTACAATACTCTGTATCGGAAACTGTACTAGTATCTGTGCATCCCTACTTTTTAGTATATCCTACAACAATGAGCAACTTTGAAAATAACAACCTCCTATCTTTTCTACCTCTGTGCTTTTGATAGCTGTCAACACAAATAATGTAACCTTTGTTTGCATTGTCTGCAGTCTTAACTGTATGATATAGAGACTAACTTACTTGCAGGCCATTACATGGAATGCACCAGGGATCCGTTTTTGTTTGTTTTGCATTCCAGTTTTCTTTTTCTGCATACTCATA